ACGCAACCAACATTGGGGCTGAACTCCCCTGCTCAATGCGTCTAACATGATGTAGAATTCTAGATCCTCAAAGCTTACAGTAGCTGGTTGGAAGTCTCCTACCTTTCAGTTTGAGTTTTAAAAAGGGAAAAAAAAAAAAGGCACGGACACTAGCCGAGATTTCTCATCGGCGGCTTGTCATCGATTGTACTAACCTTGGGTTGTGCCGCAATACCCAGCTGAAAAAGCTGCCTGTCACAAAGTTAAACAAAAAGCCTCTCAGCAACCAAAGTGAAGCATGCGTGTCCTGTCCCACCGCTGTATGGGGCATACTCGACATTAGTGCATAGAGCACGTCGAGGTCCCACCAGCCTTCAGCGCCTAAGAGTGATCATATATCATCCAGCCCACGGTTGGTCATGTTAATCTCCACTCGGCAACGACCGTTTTCAGGAAAGGATCGCAGTGTCTCCAAATTACTTTTGCTGGTTCAGTGTTCAACTCCATTACCCTACCCACGGACCAGGTCGAGCCTGGTGGGAGAAGTATATGGCGAAAATTACCTGTGTCATGCCATAATGCTCCCTGCTCCCATTAATCGACCGTTCTAAGATCTACAGCACAGGGCGGGATTTTGCCGAGCTAGCTCACCTCCTGAAAATGCAGGGTAAAAACAATGGAGAATCTGGAGGTCGGTGGATCGCTTGCAGTCTCCCAACGTGTGGTGACTAGCGGAGTAGCATACTGTGTATACTTCACTACTATATACTCCGTAGAGAGGTAGGTTAATATCAAATCAAGCCAAGCATTCGTGCTTGTTGAATACGAGATACTTACATAGTTCATTCAAGTTCTCCTCTCGAGTTTCGTTAAGATTTCTATTTCAGCCATGAAATGCCCGCCGTTGACACTATCGTTGCGCGGAAGCTTGACTCTTGCTGATCGGCTATAACTCTCATTCACACCATGCGGGAATACTTCAGGAATGACGGAGCAGACTACGCAAAAGCCGCTTGTCATAAAATGCCATGGCTTGTAGGGTCCATGTATGATCATCATTGCCCGTGGTGGACTTCGTAGTAACCTTTCCATGGCGAAACGGTTGAAGCGATGCCGGTCTCCCATCGATGTAGAGCTTCTGCGCCCAAAAGAGGAGTTGCATTTCTGTTACCTAGATATACCTTATAGACCGTACTCCGAAGTATAGCAGACTTTCGCTTGCCATCAATGATTCAAACCTCGGTAATCTTCCGAGACCCAATTTTCACTATCTGAAGGGAAGCCAAACAAATAACTCCTGGTCTACTGATTAGCTTACCTTAGATCAAAACGGAGAATGAGCCTTTTTAGGTCTGTCGTTTTAATCCAAATCGTCGTAATGCCAATATGCCCAAAAATGACTGTTTCCGACTCGGCAAGACTAGTCTACAACCAGCTCACTGTTTGAATTTCGAGTAAAATTATCTGAAACTCCTTGGGTGGTTATTAGTGCGAGTCGGCATCAAGCCCAACGAACTCTGTTTGCAACGAACTGGTGTTTTGGGGGGAGGGCGCTATTTCCTCCACCAGTGATACCACAACCACAATGGAGCGATCCAGATTACACTCAATGCTACGTACTCCTTTTCTACGGTGGAGCGCGCCGTTGTATCGCAGCATAGCGTGAATCTAGCTAAAAGCTGGCATAGTCTAGGCCACGTCTATAGTTACAGGAACTAAACCAATTAGTGGGGACGCGGTCGAAGTCAATGATATTGCCAAGAACAGCACCAAGGACTAAGAGTACTCCGTAGCCTCGATCCTGATGCCATTGCGCATCGTCAGTTAGCGTTGGTTTCAATTTGAGCTACATGGATCGCTAGTATATGAGAATTCAAACTACGCTCTGCCGGATCTTCGTCGGCAGCCGATGTACGGACAAACAAGCACGGTAGATTTACAGACAATTACCATGAGAACCTACGTTTTCGAAATCCGTAGAATTCGAATCATAAACCAGATAATGATAATCATCATTCTGGAAAGAACATAAATTCGTTGAGGCCCACGTGACTGCCCCGCGGCCTCGTAGATTTATTGATTGGCAGCGTCAAGTTGTCGATCTGTCAATCAACGTAGACACGTGGCATACCTTGCCTATACCCATCCCTGTTATTTCATTCGAGCCAGCTATTGAACTCTGGAGTATGCCCATCACTCGGTACGTCTTTCCCTGTCTGATGTCAGCCGCAGCAGTAGTAGCTAATCTGACTAGTTCATAACACCATAAACCAACGGCCTCCTTATCGTGACAGCCGCAGACTAAACAGTATGTCGGTGCAGCCTTTGGCATCTCCCGCCTTCCTGGGCTTGGAAAGCCTCCATGTCTTCATCACCGGTGCCGCCGGTGGAATTGGAAAGCAAGCAGTGCGAGAATTCTTAGGTACGTTTTGCGTTGACTGATGTAACCTGTGTGATGCGCGATTGGGATATGCAGACTGCTTTCTTTACCTTGGCTGCACTCCAGCGCAAAGAATAACACGAGTAGCCTGTTGGATTACTTAAATAAGGCGATTGATCATCTACATTATGCTATTGTATACTACCTCCATTACGCCCTGCCTTCTGACAGTAGAAGCTGGAGAAGTGGATGATGGTCTAACTCCCATCATTGCTTTCACATCTCCTGGATTTATGTTTTATTTTCTTATGAATGGCACATTCCATAATCTAACATAATACGTATATAGATCAGGGATGCAAAGTGACAGCACTGGACATCCAGGCCTTGGAGGTTTCTGATATACAAGGGGAGCCCTACTCCCGGCTACACGTCCTGAAAGGTGATATCACGGACGAAGAATCTGTCCAATCCAATATTGCACAGGCCAGCAAGCGATTCGGCCCTATCAATATTTTGATCGCAAATGCAGGTATCACAGATGAAAGCAAAGACTACCCTATCTGGGAATTGCCAGTGGAGACCTGGGACCAGACATACCTTGTCAATGTCCGAGGAACATTCTTGACAATCAAGCATTTCTTGAGAGCAGCACGTGCATCTCAACAGACTCTTGGTGAAGAACTGGATAACCTAGCTATCGTACTAACGGGGAGCGAAACGGGAAAGTTTGGTCAGGAAGGCCATGCCGAGTACGCATCTGGGAAGGCTGCCTTGCAGTACGGCTTGATCCGTAGTGTGAAGAATGAAATAGTTCGCCTCAATAGCAAGGCACGAATCAATGCTGTTGCACCTGGATGGGTAGATACACCCTTAATAGAAGGAAGGCTCGACGACCCGAAGGAGATGTGGGCAGAAGCCCAGGCTACGTATGCTTATCACGTTCAATCCCCATCTGCCACAACTTATAGATCCTCACTAACTAGAGTAGCGTACCTCTAAAGAAGATCGCAAGACCGGAGGATGTAGCCCGCACAATGGCTTTCCTGGCCTCTCACCGCGCAGCGGGACACATATCGGGACAGTGCTTAAGTGTCGACGGAGGAATGGAAGGTCGCTTGATCTGGAAGGAGAACGAAGCAGTCAAAAAGACAGAGGACCAAGTCGCTCACCCCAAGTCGAGTATAGTCCAATCAATCCCGAGGGTTGTATCACAGCCAAAGCGGAACAAAATCCGAATAGCCATCTCCATTGACCTAGACGCGGTATCTGGATGGCTAGGGACAGGTAAGCCATCTTTGCCATCTTTGAACGGTCTACAGACGCTGAACAAACCCCTACAACGATCAGGTCAGCATCCCGACAACATCCTCGCAGACTACTCCTCCGGATTCTTCGCTGCCAAAGTTGGCGTCCCCCGTCTCCTACGGATGCTCAAAAAGCTCGACCTAGCTGATCGTTGCACCTGGTTCATCCCGGGCCACTCTGCCGAGAGCTTCCCAGAGGAAGTGCAACAGGTAATCGAGTCAGGCTGCGAGATAGGACTTCACGGCTACGCCCACGAAGGAGCATACCAACTGACAGTTGAGCAAGAACGGGACGTGCTAACGCGATGTATCGACATTGCAACCAAACTAACAGGCAAGAAGCCCGTCGGATACCGCGCACCTCTCTACCAACTGCGCGAGTCCACATTAGACCTACTAGAAGAGTACGGATTCGAATACGGTGAGAGTTCCTCCCTTTTCCACCCCGACAATCCACCAATTCTAACGCAATCCTAAAACAGACGCTTCCCTAACAGACCACGACTGCCACCCTTTCTTCGCCCCTAAACGTCCACCCCTCCAACCCATCAATTTCTCCCTCCCCGCCTCGACCTGGATGCACCCTATCCCACCGACAACAGAAGACCGCCGGCCCCTCGTCTGCGTCCCCTGCAATTGGTACATGGAAGACATGACCCCCATGCAGTACCTTCCTCATACGCATAACTCACACGGCTATACCGATGTCCGCGTGGTCGAGAACCTCTGGCGCGATCGGTTCCTGTGGATTCGCGAGAATGAGGACGAGCCTATCTTTCCCGTATTGATGCACCCTGATACCAGCGGTATGGCGCATGTCATTGGGATGTTGGAGCGGTTGTTGACGTGGTTGAAGGGGTGGGGGGATGAGGTTGAGTTTTGTCAGACGGGGGAGATTGCGAGGTGGTTTAAAGAGAACGAGTTGAAAGAGTAGAAGGAATTCGTAGGTTATGTAGGTATAGTTACATCAAAAAAAAAAAAAAAAACTTTTCTGAAGTTTACAACATCTACGATGATTGCCACTTGGAAACATTGATTGGAATGTCAATAGCAGTCGTTCATTTAATTTGAAGTATTGAATCAATTATTTGATTGACACATCCAGATAATTCAGCTGAATCTATTATTAAAGCATATTGTTTTTATGCTGTGTACAAAATTCATATAATATGTCCAAGGTAAGAAATATCGACAACAAACGCCCGTATCCATAATCAAGCCAGAAGGAAAACAAGCCATGTTATCATCATCAGTCATCATTCCATCCATGTCTTCAAAAGCTTACACTTCTTTCTTTTATTATTTGCTGATAATCCTTTCTTTTTGTGGTAAATTTACTCGTAGAGATCCATGTCACCACTGCCGTCTTCCATTTCGGCTATGGCTTCATCTTCACTATCGAGCATATCTTGATCTTCGTCAACCGGGATCTCATGATTCGGCAAGACGTCGATACGGCCATCGCGCATGATAACGCGAGCCACTTCACCATCGAGGATGCTTCCACGGAGGATAAGAATAGCGAGACGGTTGAGGACTTCACGCTCGATGATCCGAGCCAAAGGCCGAGCGCCATATGCGGGCGAATAGCCTGCGTCACCGAGGTAGTCTTTGACTTCATCTGTGCATTCGATGGTGACGTTCTTGCTGTTTTGCTCCAAGCGCTTCTGAACTTCGTCCAGACGGAGATCAACGATCTTGCGGATTTCCCTCTTCGTGAGGCGATTGAAGATGACGGTGCTAGAGATACGGTTGAGGAATTCGGGAAGGAAGTAGTCACGGAGGCGCCCATGACTAATTCACGGGTTTGAGGGTCGATCCGTCCATCTTTGGCGGTGGGACGAGACAGGAATTCGGCACCCAGGTTGGATGTCATGACGACGATGCAGTTCTTCGCATCGACAATTCTGCCTTGACCATCTGTGACACGTCCATCATCCATCAGCTGGAGGAGAACGGTGAGAACCTCTTTTGCTGCCTTTTCAACCTCATCGAAGAGAAGAATGGAGAACGGGCGTCGCCGGAGGCTTTCGGTCAGCTGGCCACCAGCATCATGTCCGACATATCCAGGAGGCGCACCGATCATACGGCTCAAAGAGTGGCGTTCCTGGTATTCAGACATATCGAATCGAATCATAGCCTTGGGGTCATCGAAGAGGAACTCTGCAAGAGCCTTCGTAAGCAAGGTCTTACCAGTTCCAGATGGACCGCAGAAGAGGAAACTTGGCGGCGAGTTGGGGTTGCTGAGGCCAGATCGTTGGAGTCGGATTGCATTCGAAACGGAGGTCACAGCTTCCTTCTGGCCGACGACTAGCTTGGCGAGGTGCTTCTCCATGTTCAATAACTTGTCCTTCTCGGTGGTCTTGAGTCTGGTGACAGGGATACCAGTCCACCGGGCAACAATCTCGTTGATCTGATCGGGGCCGACAGCATCAGCGAGCAATGTCTCTCCAGCGTCCCCGGAGCGAGAACGCCGTTCTGCATCCGCTTTTGCGCGATCTTCCTCGAGCCTTTCGATCAGAGCTTTGGTCTCCGGAATAGCATAGTACTCCAAGTCAGCAGCGGTCACAGTATCTCCGGACCGCTCTGCCTCGTCTCTCTTGACTTTGAGAGAGTCGAGCTTGATCTTGGCATCCTGGATGGCTTTGCTGCGCTGCTTCTCGCTTTCGTATTTCTCACGCAGCGGGCGCAGTTCCTCGGTAACATTGGCTGCCTCCTGCTTCGCTGCCTCCAAGCGAGCTCTAGATGCGTCGTCTTTCTCGCGCTCAAGGGCATGGATTTCAATTTGCAGCTGTCGGAGCTTTCTCTCCAAGTTATCCAGGGCCTCGGGCTCGGACTCACGTGTCACTCTAACAGCGGCGGCAGCTTCATCGATAAGATCAACTGCGGAGTCAGGAAGTCGACGAGCGGTCAGGTACCGCGAAGCCAGCGTGGCTGCGGAAACAATGGCACCGTCGAGGATGTTGACACCATGATGCACTTCGTACTTCTCCTTTAAACCACGAAGGATAGAGATAGTCTCGTTAACGGAAGGTTCCTTCACCAATACCTGTTGGAAACGTCGTTCAAACGCCTGGTCCTTCTCAATATATTTCCGATATTCGCCTAGTGTCGTGGCACCGATACAGTGCAGTTGGCCGCGAGCCAACATCGGCTTCAGAAGATTGGCGGCATCCATGCCACCCTCACCACTGGAGCCTGCTCCCATGAGAAGGTGGATTTCGTCGACAAATAGAACGATCATTTCCTTAGACTCTTCTATCTCTTTGAGGACTCCCTTCATTCTTTCTTCGAACTCGCCCCTGTACTTGCTTCCTGCAACCAGTGAACCGACGTCGAGTGAAAGCAACTTGCATTGAGCCAAGTTGGCTGGGATATCAGCATTCACGATTCGGCGAGCTAATCCCTCCACAATGGTGGTTTTTCCGACACCAGGCTCACCGATGAGCACTGGGTTGTTTTTCGTTCGGCGACTGAGGATACGAATCACTCGACGAATTTCTTCCTCACGGCCAATGACAGGATCGATCTTGCCCTCTCTTGCCAGAGCCGTCATATCAATGGTGAACTTCTTGAGGTTCTCATTCTCGCTTTCTGAATCGGCTGTCTTGGAATCTACTCTCCTCGTACCGCGAATTTGCTGAACGGCAGAGTCTAGTAGCTTGACGTTGGGAATGTTGGCATCTGCTAATGCTCGCTGGACCTGAGAGTCCTGGGAGACAGACACAATCAAATGGTCGATAGCGACGAAGCTGTCCTTCTGGGTTTTGGACAACTCGGTAGCTGACCGGATAACCTTGGCTAGTGCCGGAGAGACACTAACGGACTCGGGAGGAGGGTCTTGGCTTGGGCAACGGACCAGGATCTTCATGAGAGATCGTTCGAGGAGCTGGGGGTCGCCATGGGCGCGTTCAATGACTTGGCGGAAGAGAGGGGCAGAGGCGGAATCGTGTGAGGGGTGCGCTGGAACTTGTTGGTCTTTTGATTCATCTATGGAAGGATTTAAGAGGGCAACTGCAAGGTGAACGGGGAGTATCTGAGAATGGGAGTATTGTTCAGCCAAACTGCTGGAATCCAGCAGGGCCTTGTTGGCTCTGTCTGTGAATTGAGCACCGTTCATGGCGAAACGGGTTGACCAGTTGTGCGTGTTTGAATAGTGGGCAAGTATGTAACGTAGTTATTGAGATGGTTGATGTGATGAAGAGAAATCGGAAAGGCTGGCTTAACTATTCTTATAGTTATCTGTATGATTGATACACACAAAAAAAGAAAGACGCTGGTGGTTGGAGTTCATGGGTGTCTATATAGCTTGGTGTTGGGCATCGTTAACCTTCCAGACCCTCCATGACGACACTAGGAACTTCCACCGCCTTCCAGAAGCACCTATGAAAAGGAGGGGTGAATTCTTGGTCACTGACGTCACGTGGCATTGGTGGCCTGATTGAACAGGCGATTGTCATCTAGACTCTTCGACACCTGACCCGCGTCAACTGGACAATTCTATACTATGACAGTACAGCACTTTGTAACACATTTTTCCCTCCTCTGACATGTAACTGCATAGCTTCCTCCAGGTACCTTGAACTAGTACTAGTAGTTACGCTAGTTTTGTAATAGTCGTTGCCTGGATGCCTAGATGCCTGGATGCTTTCACTGCCTGAGATAAATCTCCTAACAGTACAGTGGTACTCGGTACATCAGCGTTACTTGTAAGTACACGGTAAGGTACTGGAGCTTCCTACCTCCAAGTCCCCACCAACACCAGATGGGCCAATGATCTGCCGGACCGATTATCAACCGGCGATGATGATTGGAGTACTACTAGGTAATCGAGTCGGACTACTACTAGTACCAGTCGAGTCGAGTCTCGAGTTTCTGCCCATCTAACTGGGAAACTTAGCTGTACCTCAGCTTTTCTTACCCCCACGATGGGATGAATCGTGATCCGATTGAATGCGATTGAACCGTCCAACAAGGAGAGAAAGCACTATACCGGGTTCGGTCAAGATAGGGACACAGGATCACCTGCATTGGCACGATAACTTAAATATAACCAATGCCGTCCGACCACCGGCGCAATGAACGGTCAATATGGGACCGCGATCGATCTCCATTGGATGTTTCAGGTGCATCTGCCATTAGGAAACTAAGGTTACTAGTCCGTGACACATCATGACTACGGACGAGAATTCAATCAGCATGTTCCCATCACCATAGACGCCTTGCATGGTCTGCACGATGCGCGAAGAACTCTTCTCCTAATACCTAATGGTAATGAGAATATTTTTATTATCCGCGGCATTTTTCTCTCTCTTAATATCTCCTCTCTCTCCTTTTAATTCTTTTTATTTAATTTTTCAATTTTTTTTTTCTAAGCTGAGAGATTTTCGGGTCTAGTCCACCCATACTAATCAATGAACGTCCCTCACCTGGCACAATCTCGATATTTTAGTTTTATTTATGTTATTTTTTTTTCGACTTTTCCTCTTAGCCGCCTTGGTTTGTATATTAACTCCTAGATGTTAAGATCGTCCACTCTCATCCCACTTTTTCCCTAACAATCCCCTGTACTTTTCCTTTCTCTCGAGTCTTTTTTTTTTTTTAATCTTCCATCCGCCTCGTCATGACGTCAAAAGTGGACACGGCCCAAGTTGCCCTGGATTTTGACCGATGGGATGACTTCAGGCAGCCGACATTGTTAGCATATCGTCCCGAGGTATGATTGACTATCCTTGGAACCTTGATCCCCTCCCCAACGCTGGTAAGGAAGTACTAGCCTGTCCTTGCATCTTGCCTGCCCACTTTTTTTCTCCCTCCACGCTGGAGCCTCGTTATGCGCCCGTGGTTCAGGAACTGGAGTCCACTTCGTGTCTTGTCTAGACCCTAAGTGCCCCCCTCGGCGCAGGGGATTCGATGAGAAAGGAAGGCAATGCGGCGGAGCATCTGGTAGATCGTAATCCGAATTATCGTAGAGAGGGGGGGCGTTTAGCTGATGGAGGTACTATCATAACGGCCATATCCATATACTACTTCTGACTACCCTGCACCGGTGTCAAAATCTGTGATCGGAGGCACCACCTGGGTTGTGCAAGTGGATGTGAATTAGTATGTTTATCGCCGTTTCATTTGGGAAATAGTTGTCAAGCTAAATCTGCAAGTTATCCTGCTGCTTCTCCGTCGGTTTGCCATCCATGTCGTAGTCTCTCGTTGCACTTGCTTCTTGGGGAATAATCCTCAGGCATAGTTTACTTCGTGATAGTATCTCTACTAATCAGATTCATGAAAATTCATTTTGGTTTTATTTTAGCATCTTTCGTCAGTGGCTACCATCGCATATTTTTCGATTTTATTTTTGAATTTCTCTTTTCTTATTCTGGGCCCCCTCTTCCATCCAAACCCAACGGCCCTATGAAAATCTATAAGAACCCACTCGTTCCTATCGTTCGTTCCCTGACTTCGGTTCTTTTTTCTTTTATCGTCTTCAGTTCTCAGTCCTTGTCGATCTGAGTCAGTACTGATCTGGAAACATCTTCTCTCCATTCCCCATACCTACTGAATTCTCTGCATCACTTTCTCTTCCGGTATATTGCCCCCCGGATCATCCCCCATTCTGTGTAAGATTTCAACCAAAGCAGACCAGATATCAGTAGCTACGCCTGTGGTGAAAATCCCGGGCGGTTGTTGCACCACTCCATATTGCTCAGAGCCTTTATTTGAATCATTTCACCACCCTTCAACTAGATAGTGTCCGTCACAGACACAGACTATTGCAAAGATGTCGCAGAAACCCATCTTTGTCGCTACTCACCCCCGCGCATGCTCAACAGCATTTGAACGAGTAGGACAGTCCCTTGGATCTCTCCTATTCCAACTACATAAATGCGGAATTACTAACATTCGCAGGTCTTCATGACTCGCCGGGATACCATCCAGTGTGTCCATGAGCCATTTGGCGATGCTTTCTACTATGGCCCAGAAAGACTGGGTACGAGGTTTATGGACGACGAGAAGGCCCGCCTAGAGAGCGGCTTCAGTCAGTCAACCTACAAAACCGTGATGGATAGAATAGAGCGTGAAGCTTCTGAGGTCCGGCCCTTGCTCTTTTCTCTTTTCTTCTCTCCCTCCTCTTTGGCTCGTAATGTTCCGTCCTGACAGGACCGTGATGGATCGACCTCATTGGCATTCGGGATGCGTATGAGGTTGATGTAATCCCTATACCCTATTGGATCTCAAGCACGTCTGCAGAGCTGTCCCCTCTGGACTTCTGCAAATGCCAGATGAGACACTCGACCCTTTTCCTTTTTACCTCACTTTTCCCCACTGAAGGTGTCGGATCTCAATCCCCATCTCGCAAGTGAACCACGATTATCTCTTGTTTCTTCAAATTGTCACGTCGTGGTCTTCAAGACGAGTCACTTACCGGATCACAGGGCAAGAGAGTTTTCATCAAGGACATCATCCACTATCTCCTTCCACCAAGCGGGAAGCCAGCCAGCATTGCGCCATCTCTGCTTAAAGTGAAGCGTGGTGTCGGCACCGAGGCCAACGGCCATGCTGGAAACGGTGTGGAAAGCAACGGTCATGTCGAAGCTGGACAAAGCACCAAGCAGACGTCCCAGGGCCCGTACCCGACAGAGCCAGAGCCAGGTAACCCCACCGTGATGCCCAGGGAACTTCTCTCCAAGTTCCACTTTGCCTTCCTTATACGCGACCCTCACTTCAGTGTCCCTTCATACTACCGCTGCACCATTCCCCCCCTGGACGACGTCACCGGTTTCTATTATTATGATCCGGCCGAGGCCGGATACGACGAGACCCGTCGGACATTCGACTACCTGCGGAGCACCCACCTGATCGGGCCTCATATCGCAACGAAGGAGCAGGACGCGGACGAGATCGACAACAAGCTCAGGCCCGTGGTCAACGGGGTCGGTGCGGCGCACGAATCGGCCGAGATCTGTGTCGTTGACGCGGATGATATGCTCGAGAAGCCGGGTCCGATGATTGAGGCTTTCTGCCGCAGCGTGGGCATCGACTATGACCCGTCCATGCTAGACTGGGACGACGAGTCCGAACAGAAGCAGGTGTGCGACGCATTCGAGAAGTGGAGGGGATTTCACAACGATGCCATCGAATCGAAGGGCCTAACAGCGCGGAAACATGTAAGTTCACAGCAACCAATAGAGCCAGCAACGTCTGGACAAGGGGGGTAAATAGTCACTAAACCAGATTCACCAGGGTCGTCCGGTGAAAACCGAAGAGGAATTTGACGCCGAATGGCGCAAGAAGTACGGCCCAGAGGCCGCCGCTCTAATCCGTAAATCAGTGGATGAGAACATGGCGGATTACCTGTATCTCAAGCAGTTTGCCATGAAAGTGTAAGTGGAAAGGAAGAGATGAAGAGGAATTTAAGTTGCAGGAGAACAGACAGGAGGAATCCACTTTTTATTATTAGGTTTCCTGGGTTGTTTGCTTGTCTCTTCAATGCCGGTGATGATCATGATGAGATCTTAGCTCTGATGACGCCATTTGATGCTCCGCGTTCATTCGTGTTGTCTTTTTCTTTTCCTTGCGTTGGATCCTGGGTTTTTCTGTTTTAATTACTGGTTGTATCGCGTTGTATTGGGAGACTGAGTCTCATCCCTGTTACAGAGTTGTTTTGTTATTTTGACCCTGCGTAGAAGTCCGAGTAGATTGAGGTAGGGCACACGTCGTATATCAAACGCCCCTACACAGCCTCGGCAACACTACAACATACACACCATAGATTTAAAAATTAGATTCCGCTCATCCTACTCCGTATTCTGCACCAAATGTCTAATATTCAAAATGTATAATAGTATATAGAGGGAAAAGCCAAAAAGACCGATGTATATCATTCATCGTACAGTACTATCATGCACGTGCCCAATCCAACCCAGTCTGCAACTACCTTTCATAGAGATTTTCTGAGATAATATCACACACACGGCCCCACCGAGCTGTAGAAACAAAAAGAAATCCCAAGTAAAACGTAAATGAGCGAAAGAGAAACACCTACACCACGCTATACCTCATGGCATTATACCGCACTGTAACCGCCTCTGGACCCCGATCCTTGGAGCGTGTTGACTACCCGACGGAGCCAATCCTGAAAGATGTAGGGAATATCCCGGATAGTGTCGCCGTGAGGGAGGAGATCCCATCCTCGGGCGCGTAGCGGTTATAGTTAAGCCAGGAGCCAAAGATAAGGTAAGCAGCGATGCAGAGGAAGAGACTGGGGCTCATAATTAGCATCCATATAGTTCAGGGGTAAGGAAAGGAACCTACATAATAATCAACCAAGTAAAGAAACCCCAGTGACTAGACGAGTCGCCTTTTTTCTCTTCCAGGTAATGATCACAGGCATACTTGGTCCTCCAGTTCAGCTTGAGCACATATGAGTCGTCATCGGCCTTTCCGAAGCTCTTGAATTGGAGGCTGTGCGACCGGTCTTTTTTCTCGTCCGGCGGCTGTTCTTTACCGTCTCCACCTTCTGCGCGTCTCCGCTCAGCCTCTTTCTTCTCGTCGTCGGTCTCATCGGTCGTCTTCAGGCCTTCTAATCCTGACCGTTCAGGATCACATTGGAACTCGAGCACCGCGCCCGCGTCTTTCTTCTTCCCCTCGTCGTCGACGTAGTTGCCTCCGGAAAGTTTGATCAGTAGGCCCTCTTCACCCGGGTCGAGTTTCTTCAGCCGGGTGATCTCGGGGTCTTTGCTTCCGTGACCGAGATGCTCGAGTCCGACGATGGGAAAGGCACGGCTTGTTTCCTCGGAGCCGTCGACCGGGTATTTGTATTGAAACCCACAAACTTGAATATAGAATTGTTAGTATTGTGCGTTGTTTGTTTAAGTAAATTGAATGATTAGGAACATGACAAATCTTTGGGCTGTTGAGTCCTTGTATGAAGAGCGGATAACAAGAGAATGGGAGAGGAAACATACTGTTCTTCGATGTTCCACACTTCAGATGGCCCTTGATCGCAGCCCCCTTCAGAATGTTACATATGTTCAGTACATATGTGGTGTTCACGACGTGTTCCTCTGTTTTCTCGACATTGTAGAGCGAGTGGACACCGCCCAGCTCACTTAGGTCGTACTTGAACCCGTCGACGTTGATGTGAGCGCAGTCGAAGCCGCTTGCGGCGCTTAGGCTCGGTAGTAGGGCGGAGGAGAGAATAATCGAAGAGAGGCCTGCGGGTATTCGCATGGTGTAAATGTGAGGGAGGAGGGTAGACGAAGGGCGTCGGTGTCGTCGTGTACTGCCTGGTCACGGTTTGGTGATAGCAGTGTTGCTGCGGTGATCGAGGCGACAGAGCTTGACTGGATACAATCTAGAAATAGCTCTTGAGATATCAGACACCCTGTGTTTGTGGGGTTAGTGCTAGATGGTGGTGAAGATTGATTCAGATGGAAGGCTAGGATATCGACGGCCGGTATGTTATGTTTGGTGATGATAGCTTTGGTTTGGCCGTTCGGGATTATCTTTCTTTTCTCCGAGACCAGCGTCAACCACTGCTACTGTATGTTTATGTATCAATGGATACAGAGACGGTTACTTCTGCAGTCCAGTTAGATAGTGCGGGTCTCAATTTGAGACTGGAAACGTATAGGACAGAGAGACTCTATTAATGTGTGGTATATGCCCTTGTGTTCCTACAGTACTTACTCCGAAGTACATACTTCCTCTGAGAGAACACATGACATGGCCGATGATGATGTCACCCGACCGAGAACCAATCAATACGCTCTATACATACGTTACCACACTCCTACTACGATAGTACTACTACTACTAGTAGCACAGAGTACATCTTGTTGCTGTTGGATTCTTTGGATACTCTAATATCGCTGAGTACCTACCTACTCGCCGAGAAAACATCAAGGGTCTTGGCCAGCGAGAGGGTTGCCGTATGAGTGGGTTGATCTAACACTGAGGAGTATACGGCTATCTTTGCTGTATGTGCATATAAAGACGCATGGAATAGAAAGTCAACCAGGATGCTGTAAACAAGAGAAAGAAAAGGAGAGGGGGGGGAAAGGGAAAAAAAAGAAAAAATGTAAAAAGAAATGACCAGACTGGGGCTCGATCCCAGGACCTTATCGGTGTTAACGATACGTGATAACCAACTACACCATCCGGCCAACTTTGTTGAAGAACTTTTTCTTTTTAATATTAACAAGCAATAAAAAAAAGAAGATATTCTTCCAGCGTGTAGAAGGCTATTGTAGTATACTCGGCTCCGGAATCTGTCCAAGAGCATCAGTTCGGTAGACCCTTAGATGAAGAAGAATTGTCCTTCTTCAATCCTTCCTATGTCCGAAGGTCATTTTATAGTCAATTGCAGGTAAATCAGTAAGGCCAGCCATGAAGTGATTGGTACATATAGATTTTACACAAGCCACGGGTGTTCCCTCGAACTTAACATCAGGCATCTTGCAGCAGCAATCCTAGACAGGACTTCTATTATCCAAAGAAGAATACACATCAGACTAAAATGAGGAATAGTGATATGCAATATCAAAGGGATGAATATAAACAAATTTGACCCCAAAACAAGAATCTGGACATAATCCCATGAAACGGGGAAAACCGTCCCAACTCTTTCCGCCCTCCAAAAACATTTCGACTCTGTGTCATAGTCCAGCGCTCGAAGCAACCTAGTAGCATGATAGAAATTATGATATTATGCAAAGGCGCCAGGTCGTAGTTGCGCTCAATGGCCGTTTCTACGGACACGGAGCTTACCCGCAATACTGCGTCATCACTTTCTGGATTTTATCTGTGACAGAGTCAGCTATAGTTCTCCCCCATACACGAAAAACAGGCGACATTTACCATCCGAGACAGGGCCACATTTTGATTCCACACAAGGTTTGGCAATATCTAATATCGCCTGCGAATGGGGACAAAGGCATTTGGCATCAATACCGCACTCGGGTGCCGCTTTCTGTATACCTTCCAGAATACAAGGTTTGGCGCAGCTGATGTCCTGTGCATTTGTTATGGTGGCAAGGATAAGTGCGGCGACTATAGTGAATTTCATCTTGAACGATAGATGACGATGGATGGGTTGGGTTTATGTTGGGGGATCAAAGTAGCGTGAAACGCAGATGGAAGTGAGAAAGAAGAAAGAAGAAAGAGAAAGAGAAAGATACGGGCCTTATACTATTAGTACCTTTGACAAAATGCAAGGCCATTTCTCATATGTTTACGTTTGGATGAGATCTGCACGTATGTCTCAATTATTGCCTCTAAAACAGTGTCTTCTAGATGACATGTTGCATTTTAGGAGCAAACTGGGATACGGCTTGAGAGATGGAGTAATGAATGTACATATCATGTGAGGGATATGATAGGACATTCAATAGTCGTGTATAGACATACGTAGCCTAGTAGTCCCCAGTGATGCACAACCAACAACATAAGAAGAACCACATATATTGAACGTAAAAGCGCAGTTCAGCCGCCCCGTATAATTCATAGTTTATCTAGCAAAAGGGGCCCCTAACGAGTGTGAAAGTCTACGGCCTCATTCAATGTGAAGCTCCCGAGCCCCTCAACGTGGCTTGCGTCTCTTCGATCCACTTTGTCGATTTGATCCTCTGTCCCTTGCTCCAACTCCCTAGGCAGAACCAATCAAGTCTCCGACGTCGGGCCAATCACCCCAGACAGCCAGATGGGATAAAGGCCTTGATGATTGTCCTTTTCGGCGGTCTCCATCTTACCATACAGCACTGTGTGCTGCGAGATGGGTGTTTTTACGATCTATACTCCATAGATCATACCATAGCATCCCAGAACCTCAAAATCACGATCGAGCCCGAGTGATCAATGCTACCAACCCACTTGAGATGAGTCTTGTCAAGAATCACACACATGGGATCCTTTCTGGGAACCATATCCGAATGTTTGCCAGGGCTCTACCGGCCTCTAGAAGTATGTCCAGACTGTAGGGCATGTTTTTCTAATTAGAAAGGATGCCACGTGCCGGGCAGTTCGTCACAATCAACTTCTTCTCCAAGATATAAGTAAGAAGTAGGTGGATGTATGTATTAGATATCAATATAACACACTTAGATGAGGACAACAAGCTTCAAGTAACAAGCCCATGAAAACAATGAGCCACGCCAAGAACAACCGCGCACAGACCACCCACCGAAACCACATCAAACCAAATTAAACTTAAGATCTATCAAGAAACAAAACCCTCCACCCCTCCCTAGTACTATAAGATATAAAAACCGACAACTCAGTAGCAAAAATGATGCAACATCGCATGGTAAGTCGGCCCAAGTTTCCCGTTCCAACATAACCGAGCTAATCAAACACCCCACAGCTCTCGAAAGAAGACGAAGTCTCCGCAGCAGGCGAAGAGAATGAGGTCCGTCGCGAAGACCAGGAGAAGATCAACCGTTTCAGTCGTCTTCATCAACGTGAGACGCTGCTAGAAGAGCAGTTGAAGGCCAAACAGGTTGGTTTTTGTCTATCCCATCTAGCAATTTGCGTTTTTTGTATATCGGTCCGAGGGATTCACCCCGTGTCACTGGCTCCAGGAAGTGATGATGTGTTGATATTGTCATGACTTGTGTGGTCCGCGTACTGACCTATGATATCTATATTGCAGAAAGATAAAGAGGATCTCGAGGAGATTTCTATGGAGTTGGAACTGGCCGATGAGGATGAACTAGTGCCGTGAGTGTTCATTTATTTAGTTTTTGCTGCTTCAAAGTATTTTTCGCTCTGACTCGAACAGGTACAAGATTGGGGACTCCTTCTTCCAACTTCCCCTTGCCGATGCTCAATCTCTCCTGTCTTCGTCGACGGAGCAGATCGACTCCGAGGTGTCGGGGCTGGAGGAGAAGTTGAGCGATCTGCGCGACGAGTTGCAGCAATTGAAGGTGGCGCTGTATGCGCGGTTTGGACGGAGTATTAATCTGGAGGTCTAAATTATTATCGTAGTATTCAAAGGTCTCAAGGATCTGTGGAATATGCAGTATGAGGGTGGATTGAAAGGTTCTATCATTAATGCATATAGAGGTCAAAATAAAATCATGATGTCACTGTATATGAAACAAAGTCTATTGTCTAGCAAGACAAGGTGAATTCTACAACACAGAAACGCATTTTGATGGTATGCTCAATGTAATCAAACGTAATGTATGGATATCAAAGATTCGGTCGTAAGACATATCTCGTTTCACATGCTCCACTGGACCCCAGACCATCATCTAGACAGATAATACAAATAGATAATACAGTCCACCTCCTTCCTGATGAAGAAAGCCGTCGTTGCCCTGGGCGCCTGTGTCCTTGGGTTCTCTCGTAAGTTTTTAATCCGCAGAATATTGACTGCTCTAAGCCGGTTCTCGGGGCACGTTTTATATGAACCGACAATGTTTCATGGTCGTTCCACAAGCTGACGCCGTTAGAGTGGATCTCGACATGGAGACAAGGGTATGCGGGAGAGTCGCAAAGTATCAAATTATGAGCGACAGATCCCGTGATATTAGATGATGCTTGCGATTGTCATGCGTGAATGAGATGAGGTCGACTGTGGCTGAGGTGCTGGCTCATCACCCCCAGGGCTAGTCTGCACATCCATTCTATTATACTCCTGCTGCTGCTTTTGCTTCTCGCTGATTAGACATTGAACCGTCTGTTCAACCCAATCCCACCCTTCCCAAGCTTCTACTTCTCCTGTAGATAGATTATCTCGGGCACTGGGATGTGGCATTGGGACAGGACTGCCGAAGTCGGTCAATGTCTCCAGCTGAGAGCCAGTCTCGCTGCCTTGCCACACCCAGCTGCCACCAGTTGTACCTTGCATGTCGCCCGACACATATGCCAATATTTCCTCGTCTCGCTCAAGATCCGCACCGTCGGGGTGACTTAGCCGGTCCACAAGGCACTTCAGGAAAAATGCGATGTACCGCCCACAGGCTGCATTGACCGCTCGGGAGTCTCCAACCACAGCACTTGCCCGGACACACACCAGTGCGGCATCATATTCCTGGCGGAATAGCAACACTAGCACACAACGCCAGATGTGGGTGCAGAGCACAGTTCCCGCAGAGGATGCTAATAAAGGCCGCCAGTCATCATTCCCGGGAGGCGAAGAGTAACCATGAGGACCCGAAGGAGCCCGCATGCAGCGTGAAAGGAGGTGAGCAGTGTCCTGAGAGATTGAAACACAGTAATCAAGTGCCAACGATCGGACCTCGGGCGCACAGAAAGGGGAAATATTATGACGATAGAGGATGAGGCGGGCATTTTGCAGGTAGATGAGTGGGAGGATAGAGCGGGGATCGAGGTATTGGTCAGACTTCGGATGATACTGCGGAGGAAACGTGGCCTGGCAAGTTTGAAAGTGTCGCTCGAATATTTCCAGGGTTGCCGGGCTGATCGTGGGGCTTCTCAACGTCCGGACCAATTGACCTATTGACCGAACGACATGTATAGTGGCCAGGAGTGGAGTAGTCTGTTGGCCTTCCGCCACAATACCACCTTCTGAAATACACCGTTCGTCGACTGGACAAGGAAGATCAACATCGCAATCTTGATCATTAATGAGGACTGGCTTTCCCATTTCTAGGGCGAGAAGTCTAAGGAGATAATAGTCAATATAACGGAACTTTGTATTATGGGGGACTTGAGTCACACCTGTCCCAGGCATACACTCCCCACCATACCCGCTTGCGCATTTCTCCTTCAAGGGCTGACCACGGCCCTGACTCAATATGCAGTCCTATCTCCTGCGCAACTCTCACTGCAGATCCGATCCATACCCAGCTGGCTGACTTTGCGTTGACCTCGTAAAGAAAAAGACTAACCAAAAGCGCGGCTCGGGCTTGATCCAAGGTGAAATTGTCCTTCCAGACATCGATGACCCCACAGGAAATTCTTATAAATTCTTTACCGTCGTGCTCCCTAGTCTTTTCCAGTGTGTGAAGTGAACCACAAGCGAAGATACCAAACAGAACAGCCACCCATTCTCGAGGGAGGCCAAGAAGGGAGCCAGTTTGGTAAACCTTTTCATACTCCGCCACGAAGCTAGGCCAATGAACTACTGGCAGAACGGAATGAATACATTCGTAGTATTGCATGAGGAGACGGTCTGCAACCTCCTTTGGGGGAAGCGGCGGAGGATCGGACGCCAGGAGCGATTTCGGACCCGGCTGGCGATACGGTGTTGGTACTTTTATAATTCCCCTTCCGTACTTTCGCAGATTGGCTCGAGCTTCGGTTAGGTCCTGTGATACCGGAGCTCTTGGCTGGCGTGATGGCCGATACCCAATGTCAGGGAGCTTCAATTGAGACTGTCCAGTTCCATCAATATCGAGATCAATCAGGTTGTCTGGCCTCAAAATGCCCGATCGCAGTTGTTGTAATTGCTGCTTAGTTGACAGAAGCTGCTTTTCTAAGTCCTGTACTTGCCTATGACCCAATTAGAACAACAAAGCTTTTCATAACAAGTAGCCGTGGTACAAACTTGATAGACGACATGCGCCTGTTAGTTTCCTTCGTGAACTGGCATCGCACTTTGCGATTTGTACATTCTGTACAACTAGACGACTCCGAAGCGTCACACTGAACCGGGGAAAGTTAACAAAACCGCCTTGGATGATCTTAAGCCAAAATGACAGGGGCGTCGGCGAAAACTCGGTACCTTGACTTTGCGCTCACGACACGCATCACAACTGGGGTCTTTCCTCCTCTGACGATAGGCTCTCTTTTGTTGCAGCGGCTGCTGCATTTGCTGCTGCTGCCCGGCACCACTAGGCTGTGGAAGAAGCCCCGACGACCCTGGGGCCGAACCATTGAGCGGTGGCGCATCCGGAAGAATAGAGGCGCCTTCGGCCGGCGAGCCGCTTGATTCATAGGATCGTGAGTATGATGAAGGCGGGGGAGGCGGGGGAGGGTTTGACATCTGATGCGGCAGGGGTTGCAAAAGATGAGCCATTCTCAATCCACTGGCGGGTCTACTCGGCGGAGCGGAAAGAAGAGTAGGTGGAGGGCCAGCCTGTGGAAAAGGACCTGAGGGAGAAGTCACCGATTGCACCGGCGGCAACTCATAGGAAACGCCCGGTTGCCCTTGGCTATTCGGCGAACGGAAATACTGCGTCTGCATCTCGAGCCACCGAACGCCAACTCATAGGGGGAGAACAAAAAAATACTAATGGGTGATGTATGGCGAAGGGCGAAATGGTTTTGAGTGGAAAGGAGTGACAACCCAACAATTCCCGACACGTGCAACCTTAAGTTATTTTTTTTATGGCTCCCTCTCTTTTTCCTCTTCTTTCTTTTCTTTATCCCCTTGTGTTAAAAAGTTTCTCAATAGAGCGGAGACAAGAAACAAGAAAACAAAGAATAGAAACAAAAAATAAGAAAAAAAGGAGCAACCCCCGAATCCACCCAAGCCGGATGGTAATGGGAAGCTCGAGGCTTCTCCTTTGTATATATGGTTACGACACTAGTCCAGCGTGTCAAGTTACCAATGATTGAAATGAAGAATGGAGAACAAGAATTGAGATCCCGACGGATCGAAACCAATGGATAAGGGAGAAATCCCGAGTGGTGGCGAGTGAGTTGCCAATTGGGATGGTGTATCACTTTAAGTTGGGACGACGGTTGGCGCCTGAGGCAACCGGTATAGTCCCAGTAACGTAATATAGTAATAGAGGAGATTATAACGCAGAGTGGATGGATACTTCTAATACCTAGCCTAACGGGCAGGTACGGTAAGATTAGGTAGTTGTCGTTCAGTTGGGGAGAAATTAAAGTTCAAGTTGCTGGGTGAGTCGACATGAAATGCGCTGTTTGCGGATCGATGGAGGTTGTCAAACCATTACTTTGTTCGTTCAAAATTTCTCCACCGAGCAGGTTGCTAAATACCGAGGTCACCGTGAAGGGTTGGGTGAGAGCCAATGATGGGATATGATCGGTTGAAAAAGGAGTGGGGGGCCCAGTGTGGGAGTATGCTTCTTCTAGAATCAAGGAGGAAGAGAGGAGGGATGAAATTAAGGAAAGGAAGGGACGAAGAGAAAGAAGAGAGAGTGAGGCAAAAGCAAAAAAAAGGTTACCGGAGAAGAATGACCGTATGGAATGATATTATAGTGATGATGGCCAGTGGTAATTTTAAAAATAAAGAAAAAGTAAAAAAGAACAGAAAATAATAAAATAAATAAAATTTAAGCATCAAACCGTCGGGGGTGAAGAAATAAGGGTGATGATGATGATAAAATTTCCCTTTTGCATTTATTTAATTTAATTTTCATTTCATTTTTCTATTTCTCATGCTCTTGCTTTGGCGTACCCCCATTAATTTTTCTTCTTTTAGTAGGAATTTTTTGTAAGAAACTACATCTCCAGAAGAAGAATTCTTTGCGATATCACAGACCCTAAAAGGAACATCGATCGACACGATGAATTAATTTCCCAATGCCACGCGCTCAATGCGTCAAGTACTTTATCCTAGACACGCCTACTAAGTAAGTAATCGGCCGGGACGGACTCCATTCTCCAGGGTCTTCCTTCGTCCAAGAGCCAGGAAGCGACTCCGAAAGTCTCTCGGCTGACCCCAGTTACTTCTAACCATGGGCTGAAACGACACCGGCTCCTACTCAAATCAGATCGTGAGGAAGGTGGAGATTAAGTAAATTGGAGCTTACTGCAGAATTTATCTCTCTCAGGAATCTTCTGCCGACAAGGCCTTCTTTTTGAGTTTTTCTCCGGAGTAGTATCTTTTCTTTGGTTTAGTTGGATTTAGTGTCGCTTAGCTTGATCGTTAGCCTTTCTTTTTATCCTTTTTTCCCTCTCTTTTCTTTCTTTTCCTTTTTTTTTCTTTTCTTTTTTCCATCTCCAAAGTAAGAGTCAGGGAAGGGGGAATAAGAGAAAAAAAAGGAATACAATATACTCAAGACACACTGGGGTATAAAGAGGGGTGGTA